TCTTCCGTGTGATGATGATGCTTCATCTGCCTTCACCGTCCACTCTTGACGCCGAGCGCTTGCCTGTGTCACTGTTTTCATCTTCTACGCACTGGCCTGACCTCTCGAATGCTGACTTTTTCATCTCTTTTAGGTAACTAAACTTTTTTCGTGATGGAGTGACCTTCCCAACGTATCTCGCGCCTATCTTCCATGAAAAAAGAGCTCCTTTCCTTTGTGGACAACGGCTTCCTTAAGTAGTCTGAATCATCAAAGACATATATGCCTTCAAAATTGATTTGTCTTTGATGACCAAAATTTTAATGGGCTTACTGGCATCATGTTGAAGAATATAGCAAATGTAAGAATTCTGAAGAGCTGACTAGTCAGTCGACTGCATTATCAGATTAATGTGGATGGGACCAGGACAAGCAGGCGACGGCGCACGCATTTCTGTTCTCATTTCAACGGAAGTGTGTTCAACTTCCGTTTTCAGTAAAGGAGTATTCCAAAAATGCTCATGTAAACGGCATTATAACAGTGCCACTTTATTTTCTGTGTGGCAGCATCTCATCTAATCTGTTGCCCGAAAGTTGTGTCTGTCTGTGCGTATGTGTATGTGTCACTTTGTGTATATGTGCATGCGTTCATGTGCGTGTTTATTTGTGTAAATAAGTGTGCTCGGAAGTAAACAGTCAACGGAAGTAAAGGGAATAAATTGCACCCAGTAGAAGTGACGACAAATAATTTTACATGGAATATTACCAGGACATTCAAGGGAATGTGTTCTTCGAGAACATTTCATTTGCGTATCCACAAAAGCCGGGACAGCCAGTTATGAATGGCCTACAGTTCAGTGCTACCAGGGGACAAACGGTGGCATTGGTTGGTCCATCGGGATGCGGCAAAAGCACAGCTATCTCGCTGCTTGAACGATTTTACGATCCCGATTCTGGTTTTGTGGTATTATTTTCATTGCTTTTTTTTGACAAGCGCTTAACAAAAATTTTGGAGGTACCAGTATTTAAGCTTAGGCAGCAAGTCACCGAGTGGAAAGGAGTCTCACGTAGAAATATAACGTTTCACAAGAAAACTTTCACTTTTTGAAGCGCTTCGACGGCAGTGACTTACGAACAATGAACCTGTACAATCTGCGCAGTCAGATGGCACTGGTTGGTCAGGAGCCGCGGTTGTTTGCCGGGACAATTCGTGAGAATGTCTGCTTCGGACTCAAGGATGTGATATCAACGGAAAAAATATGCGAGGCATTGGAACTGGCTAATGCAATGAAAATTGTTAACTCATTACCCCAGGTCATCTCTGCTGATTTTTATTGCACACATTCGGAATGCCTGGCAAAACAAATTCAAAATAAAACTGACATTAGACCATGAGATATGCAATATAAGCGATAAAATTTCAGGCCCATAAAAACGCCTCAAAACTTCAAGATACGATAAAGAAATCAAACGGCCTAAAAATCTGGCCAGAAGTAGCTTCAAATTTGAAATTTAGAAGGGGGAAAAGAAAAAAGAAATAAGTACTGAAGCTGTTTTGCGAAAGATGCTTCCTCTACCACTTCTTTCTGGAAAAATATTAATTCATAAAGTGTTCTGATGGATTGCAGGGTCTGGAAACCGATGTGGGTGAAAAAGGCGCCAAATTATCCGGTGGCCAAAAACAACGGGTAGCAATTGCACGAGCAATAATACGCGATCCAAAAATACTCCTTCTGGATGAAGCAACCAGTGCGCTTGATTCAGAATCAGAAAGGGTAAATCTTACACTTAACAAAATTCGAAAGATATCATAGATCATGCACTCGTATGGAGCCGCATACAGTGCACTTTAAAATGAAAATTGGAAGCCCCAGTTATCCTCAGCAGTTTGCAAGCTCTATAGAATTATCACTCGCACGATGATTTCTCGATCGGAAGAGACGCCAGTGGCACTTTGTTGGGCCAGCTCTTTGCATCTGCAACAGTGGGATGCAGAAAAGTGAAATTTGTATCAAAAATAATAAAAACCCATTTTAAATGGCACTTAAGTGTTCGTTCAGGCAGTGCAAGAAGCGCTGGATCGAGCACGCGAAGGCCGAACATGCATAACAATAGCGCATCGTTTGTCATCAATTCAAAACGCCGATCTGATCATCTACATCGAAAATGGACGTGTCCGAGAAATGGGCACCCACTCATCGCTAATTGCGAGTCGCGGACACTACTACGATCTAATCAAAAAACAGGATTTAGCTGCATAATGAACTGTCTTTTATATGTACTGCAACTGCACATATCTTTGGCATTACCCATTACTACTCGCTAATGTGTGTGTGTGTGTGTGTGTGTGTGTGTGTGTGTGTGTGTG